TTGTGTTTAAGGAACTTTCTGATTTCAGACTTTCATTTAGTGTCAATTGAAAAGATCTTGAAAGCAATTACTGAAATGGTGTCAGTGTAATTAATGCCAGGAAGATGTGAGTTGTTTAAAGTATTATTTTCTTGGCTGTTCTGAAATTAGGCCTAGATCTATAGGAGTCAGAGTTCATCAGTCATCCTACTATTTATTTATCCAAAACAGTGGTTTGTGAGGCAGAGATGCCACCACCACCTGCACTGATAAAGTTTTTCTGGAGCACAGCCAAATCCACTCATCTTTGTATTGTCTATGGCTGCTTTCCCAGGATGGTGGCTGAAGTTAGTAATTATGATAAAGATCACAAGATTTGCAAGGGTTGAAATAGTTATCATCTGGTCCTTTACAGAAAATATTTACTACTTTCTGCTTTCTTCGTGGTAACAGATTTCCCTGCTCAGATCTATTACTGCTTAAATACCATTATGAAAGTGATTCTCTGTTGTCTGTGAGCACCCTACACGTGTCCATACATGTCCTTACTCAGCTCTCCAACTAGATGCTATCTCTATCCTTATGCTTAAAATCTATCCATTCTTTAAGGCCGGGTTCATATACCATCTCCTCCATGAAATACTCTAGTGAGGAAATAACATTTCCTGGATGGATCTCCCCATGCTCTCTTACATAGAGTTGAGCATCTGTGCCCCCTATCTTGTTTACACTTGCTTGACCTACATTGCCAGTTTAAGTCCGTCTTCTACCTACTCCCTTCTAGTTGTCTGTGGTTGGCAAACACACACACACACACACACACACACACACACACACACACTCACACTCACACACACCACTCTATGACTGTTCATGACTATGTCTTCCAACAGGTCTGGTTATCATGCAATACTTACGTGTACCCATTCTCTCACTTCCATGGCTGATTCATACGGTCCACTTCTTCCAGCTCCTGACACCTCCTTCCTTCTTTAGCTTCTACTCATGACATTTTGAACTACTTACCTGAAGAAATCTGAACAATGCTAGAGAACTTTTAGCTGCCTCTGTCACTGTTACCTGCTTGCTCATGGAACTCTACCTTGACCTCTGTACTCAAAATTACAACCTCCTATCTCTTACTTTGTTTTGTGTATTGTTTCCTATATCATTTGTCATTCTCTAATATATAATTGACTTATTTGTGCTTATGACCAGTCTTCCTGCCTAAAATGAAAACTCCTTTTCTCTTGCAATTATTTATGTGTCCCAAGGTAATATAAAATGCCTACCCTTAGTTTAGCTCAGTACATATGTGCTAAATGTATCACGGACAGGAATGCTGTCTTCTATTCTTTGCATTCTGCTCAATCTTGACTTGCTTTCATATTTTTTTGAGTGAATTACTGATGATTTATCTGGTAAATCAGTATATGTAACATTTTGCTGGTAAATCTATTAATTTTAAGTGTGTGATTAGACAAGTAAGGACACAACAATAGTAAGAATGTTGAATTGTATTACCTTGCCAGAAAGAACTACACTGTTGGAGTTGAATGTAGCATGCTTATTTTCACAAGTCACTGTGGAATAAAGCTGTCACAGCTGCCTGACTGTGTTGAATTGTCCCCTCTTCATGATGTACCCTCTGTGCAATGTCCACCTTAAGAGCTCCTGGAGTGTAGGGTGAAGTTTTCTGTCTGGCATTCTAGGATCTAGACACTCAGGTGAGAGAAGGGCAAGGCACAGATGCTAATGGTGAGGTCATATCAGAGTCATCTGCCATGAGCAGGAAAGGTTTAAATGCTGTTCATGTGCTTCTCCAAAAATGTAACAGAAAGGAAATTGAAACTTTTTCAGTAAATGACTAATGGACATTTGGCATTCTCTTTATAATCTAGGAATGGAATTAAATTGGTTTAAGCCACTTCATTCTAGTAGGTGTTGTCTTAGTTACTTTTTACCCATCCCTGAGACAAAATGCCTGACACCCAAAGTTAGGGAAGGAAAAGTTTATTTCTTACAGTTCTTGGAGTTTTCAGTCCATACTCAGTTGGCTCCAAGGAAGCATGACATGGCAGGCAACCCTTCATGGCTGCTGCCATCTGCAAAAATGAAAGCAAAAGAGCAAAACCTGCCTTCTTCCCACCATTACACTGGCTCCACCCCTGGATAGGTAAAACACTTACACTACCAGCTGAGCCCTAGACAATGAACCAATGGCAAATGCTAGATTCAGTCACCTCCATGACTGAATGAGGCTTTGGGGGGACATATAAATAAACCACAACAGTGTTAATCTGCTTTGTTTCTATAACATAATCAATGTACAAAGAGAAAGGGTTTCCTTTGGCCTACAGTTTGGCAGTGAGTTTAAGTCATTGATTGTTTGTCCCTATTGTTTTGGAACCTACAATGAGGTGGCATGTAATGCTTAAAGGATGTGCCAGACCAAGACAGAGAGAGAGACAGAGAGAGAGAGAGAGAGAGAGAGAGAGAGAGAGAGAGACAGAGAGAGACAGAGAGAGAGAGAGAGAGAGACAGAGAGAGAGAGACAGAGAGAGAGACAGAGAGAGAGAGAGAGAGACAGAGAGAGAGAAACACAGCTCCACACTTCATTCAGAGGACACATGCCCAGTCACTAGACAACCTCTTTCTAGGCATCAAGCTTCCACCTTCTTCCAATAGAGCCACCACTGAAACTAGGCCTGGGGGACACATTTCTCATCCATATGATGTGTGAGAGCATTTTAGTAGTCTGATGAGAGAATGTACACAGAAGAACTTGAGTTTTGTTGCATGTTGAAATAATTTAAATGACTAGCTTTTAAACTCTCAGAGGATCAACTTATAATTATTCACAGCGATGAACCTCAGTGACTCATCTTAATCACACTTTGCAACCAAAATTGGAGAAGTTTCTTGTATCTTTGTCTTCTTGCCCAGTTTGTCAATTTAGTGGGCCCCTGCCTCAAGACAGAGGTTGAAAGGCTGGGGGCATAGGTCAGTGGTAGAGTACTTGTCTAATGTGCAAGACCCTGGGTTCAATCTCCAGTACATTAAAAAAAAAACACTCACTATTAGTACTATTCAGTCACAAGGGAATGAATAGTATATTTTTGGAACCATGCAATTTGGTGTACTACAACTAAAAAAGGAAATTTAAAAGACTGAAATTTGAACAGTAAGGTAATATAGACAAAAAGAATGATTGTAAGAGTAATAAGGAATTTGATTTCATTGCATTAAATTACCAAATTGATAATGTCTTATATTTCTCATTTATGTGTATATATATATATATATATATGCATATGCCTTTACATTTGTGTGTAGATATGTATAGACGTTGTGTATGTGTACATGCATATTATGTATATGGGTAAATAGGAGATGTTTTTCAAATGGATGGTGGAACAGAGATGGAGAGAGACAGGAAGGAAAGGGGATGGAAAAAATTGAAAAACTTAAAATTGAGCTTTTGAAAATGAGGCAGGAAACCAAGAGTTAGAAGGAGCAGGTATGGATGGGAGGGTATGAGGATAAAAGTTAGAAGCCAGGTGTATTATATACACATCCCAACTCCCTGTGGCAAATGTGATCATTGCATGCTGCAAATATGTACCTGTTAAAAAAAAGAAGTAGCTCCTGCTGTTGTAAGTTAGGTTGTCAATCAGTGGTTATATGAATCTTAAGAATTTGGATTCATGTCTTGTGCAATAATACAGCTCTGTAATTTATCCATTCAGATATAATATAATAGAAATGTTTTAGTTTTTGTAATCAGGCAAACCTGGTCTCAGATCATGGTTGTCATATGCTTGTTGTGGTCCTAGTGCTAATGTTACCTCACAGGACTGTCGTGAGGATTAAATGTGTTATATCTATTGAGCTAATATAGTACCCATTAAAAAGTAGATGCTCAATAAGTGTCTTCTCCTTCTCCCAATCCACTGGAGATTTTTCATGGGTCCTCCTTTACCCCGAATTGTGTTGTAGGAGGTGTTCTGCATGGCTGGCTGATGGAAACCCATTGTCTTAGCCAGCTCTTCTTCAGAACTTAAGTAAGGATTTACCCTGGCATTGAGTAATGAGAATTTCGGTAAGAAACAATGGGTGGAAATAACATATGGGCTTTGCTTTCAAAGGTGACTGGAGTTTCGGATGCTTCCTAACAAGTTCTGTGTCTACTCTCTAAAATTTTTGGGATGTTGCAGACATCTGTTCCCTTAAGGACTGTCTTTACTTTGAAACTAAATGAAATACTGTTTTAAAACTGAGATCAACAATCTTGTTGTGCTCCTATGTCACCATAAGTGCATTATTTCCCTAATCGCAAGCCAATTTTTCATTGAATGTCAATGTACTACGCAATACGTTGTGTAGTCTATGAGGACAAGATCTGGTATCTTCAATCACCTCAGCAGATAGCACAGATTCTTCACAGTTGAGGTGGGAGTTAACATTGCTTTCTGAAACTGTTAAAGTTTGACAATACATAAGAGTCAGGCACAGGTATGAAAGCATTGAGCATTTCTAAGATAAATGATTTTCCTAAATCACCAAAATGTATTATATAAATAGTGTATCTTTTAGTTGGTTCAATTTTTATCCAATTTTCTCCAAGTGATACTAATATTATTAATTTTCATCTTGATGCATCTTTTAATGAATATTATTAATCTGTGCTGTACAAAATGTGCTAGCATATTAAAATAGAAGATGAGAGGACTGCAAAGGTAATAGAAAATACTAAGTGCTGACATCAATGTATATGTAAATTACTAAGTGTATGCACCGCTAAATTATTGTCTGGCATTTATATAGAGAAATATGAACTAAAGAATCATGGCCTGTATAAATTGGAGGTAGGGTGAAAAGAAAACAGAGATTTCTTTTAGGATTATTATTATTTTGTGTAATTGTGATAACTTTTCTAAAAATGCGATAAAATGTTATTTTACCTCTAACTTTTGAACTAAAAAATATTTTACCAACTTGTCTGTGATTATATTTTTCAGAAACCATCTCTGAGGAGTACTTCCATCCAGTGCTACTTGTGTTTTCTTCTAAACAGTCATTTAATAACTGAAGCTGGCATTCACGTCTTCGTGTGGGGGTAATTTCATCTTTAGGTATAAGGAGCATCTTCTCAGGGTGACAGTGGATTTTCTTGATGCCTTCTCTGTGAAACTGGTTCAGGCTCATGTTTCTAGGTACTCAGTGTTTGGAGAAGGATGTGGCAGATAATGGGGATTCAGGGGAGGTGTGGTGAAAGTTTCTATTATTGTGATAATACTACAAATGAGTATTCTATCTCTCAAATAACGTGGGCCTATTGATAGCTATCTAGACTTAAAAGTCTATCCCTTTTTGCTATCCTTCATGTTTTCACAGCAGTAAGAAGTACATATTTAGAATTTGTGCATGTTACTCTTTAATTGGCCCTAATGCTGATTCCTCATATTGTTTGATCTCCATCTTCTGGTTTAAAACATTTCTCTGTTTAGTTGTGCCTTTTGTTTCTCCTCCCGAAAAACACTCACATTTTTCCATGCTTATTAACCTTTTTCTTCTTTCTTAGATACAGCTAATATACTGCAATAAATTGGTCCCAAGAACCTGACCTCTTGTTATGTAATCCATTTCTTAGTTCACTTTTCTGCTGAGATTCCCTTCACGGTATGGAGGAACTGTAGAACTGTGCAGGGAAATCTGACTGATAGGACAGTTTAACACTATCTTGCTTCTCTGTTAGAATCACGAAGGAATGCGTACTTTTCCTGAAGCTCTAGAATCATTCCACAGCCACTTTGTCATTGTCTAGATATTAGATTTCAATTTTTACCGAAGTATGTGATCATTCAGCCTGGATGGATGTAAAGTCTGTTGTGTGTGTGCAGAAAGCTACAGGAGAAATGGGGGATAGCGTGAGTGCCACCACACAAAAGAGGCACATGGTAGCTACCCAAAAAGAGCATTTTCTGTAACAATCATTATGTTAAAGTGATTGTGGCTTTATTTTAAAACCTGCAACTACTTTGTTAGGCTTGAACATCTCGTGGTGGAAGCTCTACTTAAAGAACATTGGTAATTCGAAACATTTAATGAGTGCTACCACGCCTCTGGCATTGTTTCTGCTTTATGTGATAAACAGCACCAGTTATTTATAAATTATTCCTTTAGTAGGCTTTGCTGTAATCCTCAAGGTTGGATAGTCTTCAGGTTAACCTGAAGTATCAGGGTATACCTGATGTTTGTGCTCATCTATAAGGCTGCTGAATTCTCAGAGGCAAGAGTAACACTGCCCTTTTCATTCATCAAAATAAAAACTACCTTGATTGTTCTGTGTATGGTATTAAACAAGACAATATTATACTCATTCCAACTGATTCATTCTGTGTTTTTTTTTTCAGATGTATCAGTGCAGGTCTTCCTAAAACAGAAGCTAGTTGGCATGATGTAATATATGACTTGAAAAGAATTGAAAATCTTATTCAAGTAAGTACTCATTTTTCCATAAAATAGCAGGTATAATTGCTCTGGCATATATATCTCCTTATGTTTTCTTGTTATCTTAAGTTTGTCTTAATGAAACAGTGTTTTGTAGAAATGTATAAGCTCTGCAAAACTTTAGATGACATATCCCCTATCACTGTCATATTTAAATTATCAATAAGTTTTAATTTATAATTGGCTCAGTTTAAAACATTACGGTTCCCACAGGTCAGAAAGACTTCCTTTGCTATTTTGAGAAATCAAGTGGCCTATTAGTACCTACAGTGGGTAACATTAGTACCTACAGAACCAAATGTAAGAGAACCAGAGTGACCCTAACCCTGAGAAAAATGTCTCCTTTGTGGACTAGAGACCCTTTATCCCACCAAGAGCCAGTTGGTGGCCTGATAGAACCAGCAAGCTGCACAGAGCAGGAGTGGCCCGAGAAGTAAAATTTATCACTGGAATCTAGGCTTTCACCTTCCTCTACCTTAGGAACTGACCTGGGCCTGGGAAGCTGCCTTCAGCCCCTGCATATGGGCATCAAAAAGATCAGTAAAGGTATCAGTGACAGCACCTAAAAAGACTCTGAAAACTTAAATGCCATTGGAATTGCAGTACACAAAAGTAGGTCAGAACTCACATGCTGAACATAAATAGCATGTTTTAAATGCAAGCTAAAACAGAAGATTTAAACAGAACCAAAGTCTGTTAATATAATAGTTCTAGTGCCATGGTACAAGTGAAAATTACAATGTCATACCAAGAAAATGAAAGTCAGCATCAAGTTGGATTAGTTATCAGATACTGGAATTGTCTGACATGGTTTTGAAAAGAGCCATTATAACAATGTTTCAGAAAAGCAATAATATATATTCTTGAAGCAAATAAAAAATTGAATGCCTTAGCAAAGAAATAGAAGAAATAGAGTCAGATGTGGTGGTACACACTGTGATCCCATCACTCAGAAAGCTGTGGTCTCAAGATCACTGTGAGTTTGAGGCCAGCCTTGGCTGTAGGACGAGTTCAAGTCCAGCCTAAACTACATAGTGAGACTGTGTCTCAAATGAAAGAAAGAAAGAAAGAAAGAAAGAAAGAAAGAAGAAGAAGTAAAAAAAAAAAGGGAGAGAGAGAAAGAGAGAGAACCAAATGGTAATTGTGAAACTGAAAAATGTAGTAATTGAAATACAAAATATACTGAAAAGGCTAAAGATTATTATAACAGAGGAAAGACAGTCAACCTGAAGATATAATAAAACAGAGGAAACTGAGGCATGGAAGGGTGCTCAGGGACCCTAAGGGCACTAAGAAGAGATCCATCATTCCTATACTTTATAGGAGGAAGAGAGAAAGAATTTACCAAGTAAAAATCTGAGATTGGTAACAAACTTTAGCCCAGCTGTGCTATCTAGGAGAAGCTTAATTCAAGTGCAATAAAACACATATGTTGAAATTAAAAGAATAGAAGAAAATATATCACGCTATGGGTTGAATAATGTCCCTTCCAATTCTATGTCCACTTGGAATCTCAGAATGTGATCCTATTTAGAAATAGTGTCTTTGTAGATATAATTAGAGGAGTAAGACTCTCTAAGGAGCCTTTTCTACATGTCATAATAGAGATTGATCATAAATCCACAGTCGAATGTTGTCATAAAAGAAAAAGAAAGGTCACAGTGAAGCTCATCAGGATAATTGCTGTGTATTTAAAGACAGAAGTAAGATTGGTACACCTACTAGGGCCAGGGATTGTGAGCACTCATCAGAGACATAGCAGACAGGTGAGGAAAGACTCCTTCCTGGAGCCCTCAGTAGGAGGATGACCCTAAGAACACCTTGGTCTCAGGCTTTTACTGTCCAGAACTGTGAGCATGTGTATGCCTGCTATTTTATTTTACTTTACTTTATTTTTTTAGTTTTGTGATTTTTTTATTTAAAGAAAAAGAAACAAAACAGAAAAAGGGTAGAAATAATACATAATTTCAAAAAATAAACAGTAAGGAATCACTAGTTGATAATTACATATTCTCCTCTTAGAAATAGTTGTTCAAATTACAAAAGTGAAGCATACAAAGTAGACATTCAAACAATGAGACTGCAAACTGCAAACAGTCCTGTTCAACTATCCAACAAAAACTTAGTAATATGGTTATCAATCTTAAACACTTAAATATACATGCAGTTATATCCTCTAGAACACTTTCTATTCCTCTCTTTTTTATGATAGCAATTATACATTTTGGATTTTATTACTCTTACATTTCTTCTTACTTTTTACACTAGAAATACAATGTGATATTTATAAATATGATTCTTATTTATTTCACTAATGAGGATGGCCTCAAGTTGTCTCCATTTGCCTATGGAGGACTCAAGATCATCCTTTTTATAGCTGAGTAATATTCTATTGTATAAAAATACCACATCTTTTTTATCCATTCTGCGATTGATGGGCATCTTGATTGTTTCCAAGATTTAGCTATTACAGGTTGTGCTGTTATGAGTGTGGGTGCACATACATCACTGTGATACGACCTTTTCAGTTTTTCTGGGAAAATACCCAGGAGGGGAATAGCTGGTTTGAATGGAACTTCCAATTCTAGTCTTCTGAGAATTCCCCATACTGATTTTCATAGTGGTTGCGCCAGTTTACACCCCCATCAACAGTGGAGCAGTGTCCCTTTTTCCTGGAGCTTTGCCAACATTTGTTATCAGTTGATTTCTTGATGGCAGCCATTCTTTCCAGAGTGAGATGAAATCTCAATGCTGTTTTAATTTGCATTTCTCAAATGACCAGTGATGGCGAACATTTCTTCGTGTATTTATTTGCTATTTGTATTATCTTCATCTGAGAACTGTGTGTTCATCTCAGATGCTCATTTTTAAAGAGAGTGTCTTTGAATTTGGGAGGCTTGATGTTTTTTAATTCTTTATATGTTCTGGATATAAGTCCTTTGAGGGGTTGTTGGGTATAATTCTTTCCCATTCTGTGGATTTTCTTTTCACTCTGTTGGTGATTTCTTTTAAAGTTATGCCTGCTATTTTAAACACTCCCTTTTTGGTACTATGTTTTAGCACTTCTAGGCAACTGATGTATATGGACATGCTACTTTTAAAGTAAAACAGAATTGATAATATTAGTATCATTTATAGCAGACTTAATGGCAAGTAAAATTACTAGAGTTAAGAGGCACACTAGATAATGACAGCAGATTAATTTATTGAGAAACATAATGATCATAAATATATATGTACCAGACAATACAGCCTCAAAATTTATAAAGTGAAATGTAATAGAGCTGAAAGAGAAATATACAAATCCACATTTATAGGTAAGGACCTTACTATGCCCTTCATAGCCCAGATAATTACTATGCAGAAAATCAAGAAAGGTTCAGAACAGCATAATAATAGAAGCATTTTATCCAACAGTAAGAGAGTGGACATTTTTTAACTGTCCATGGAATGGTTGTCAGGACTGAAATATCTTTAGCTGTAAAATAAACTTGAAAATATTTATCAGAACTTCAATCATGCAGAATGTTTCAGAGCAATGCAACCAAATTGAAAACCAATAACAAATACAATAGTAAAATTTCCAAACATTATAAACAATCCATAGGTCAAAGACTAAGACTCAAAGGATACTTAAAATATGTAGAACTGAATAAATATGAAAACAAGCTTATCAAATTATATGATATAAAGCTAAGGAAATACTGAGAAGGAACTTTTAAAAAATCAAGTAACTTCTATAGAAAATGAGAAAAGTATCAAATCAATAATCTAATTTATCACCTCAAGAAACTAGAAGAATCACAAAATAAAACTCATCAGAATCACAGGAAGGAAACAATTCAGGAGAAAAGAATGAAATTGAGTTCAGGAAAATAATAAGAAAAGTCAGTTGTACAGAAAGCTTGTTATTTGGAAAAATCTGAAAATACATATAGGAGAAAAAATTCATGAAATTGAAATCAGAATAGTAGGAAAAGTCAGTGAAACAAAGCTAGTTTGAAAAAAGCAATACTGATAAAGCTCTAGTAAGACTGAAAATGTGAAAGATGTGTATCATCAATACCATAAATGGGATGGGGGCTATGTTTACAGAATCTGTAGTTATTAAAAGGATAATAAGATAGTGAAGCATTTTGTGCTCACAACTCCTCTTTCCTGGGATGAATCTTAGCCCCTGCCCCGAATGCATACACTGAAGCTCCAACTGCCAGGACCTCAGAATGTAACTGTATTTTCAAACCAGGTCTTTAAATAGCTAATAAAGTTAAAAATGAATTAATGTGGGCAGATTCTACCCCAAAATGACTGACATCCTTAGAAGAAGGATTACTTTAGAAGTTTAATCAACTCAATACTTATTTATGAAGTCAGAAACATAAAAGTTATGCAGATTGGAAAAAGATTAGAAATCATTTCACATTGTCTTCAGAGAAGTATCAAAACTGTCTAGTGGACACAAATAAAAGCCACAATAGCTGATCACTATGTAGTATCCAAAATAAAAATAGTGATGTGGAAAAATACATATAAATGAAATGTGAACTAAATAAAACACAAATAGGAATGTAGTGATGATGCTGAAAAGTATGTATAAAAACTGGATAGTCATACACTGCTCATTCATGTGTAGAATGCTACGGTTATTTTATGAAATTGTTGTTCAGCTTCCTGCAAAATAAAACTTGCATTTGTCACATGATCCAAAAATGTGAGTTTAGACACTTAACCGAGAGAATGGAAAATTTATGTTTACACAAACATATACAGTGTCCGTTGATATTCATACTTTCCAAAAGTTCGAAACTATCCAAATATGCTTCAGTGTGTGAAAAACTTTGGTATATCACCTACCATAGAATATTATTCAGCAGTGAAAAGTAACAAAGTAGAGATACTAGTGACAAATTGGGAACGTCTCCAATGTGTTAAGCTGAATGCTTGTGACTTAATTAAGCCAGTCTTAATTGTGCTACATCGAAAAATGCAACACTATTGAGTGATAAAAAGGAGTGAGCCCTTAAGCTGTGAACTGAAGGAAGTGGAGAAACTTGGAAAGCATACAAGGGATGGCAGTACACAGCAAATATTTAGATTTTCACAAAACTATTACAGTGAAAGATGCATTGCTATTAATTTCCCTAAAACAACCCCCTTCACTGGAATATAGTTATCCCATTGTTTTTTCCACTTTCTGAAGTAGTTCTGGAGGTCTTCTTTTGTGAGTATCTTTACCATCAAGAGTGTGGCAAATAGTGCTGCCAAGTGTCACCCACTGGAAAGGCAGACTTGTGAAGACCTGATGGTGGGTCGGCATCTACCATATTCATACTTACGGATCTGTACCATGTGAACTTGGGTCATTCCTAAATGACCATGAAAAGCAAACATTCTAGTTATTTCAGGACATGGAGGCACCCATGACAACACAACTAAGACTCTCAAAAGAGAGGACTTCCAGAACTGCTTCAGAAAGTTGTTCAAATAATAGGATAAGTGTGTTTGAAGTAGGGAGTGGGGAAAGTATTTTGAGTAGGATTAAACACAATATGTCTTTCATAGTAATATATTTTTAAAAATTTAAATACAACTTTTATTATATATTATATTGCTAAGTAAAAGAAGATTATGTAAAAAAATACGCACTTACATGATACTGACTGTGCTATCTTGGAAAAGACAAAACTAGGAAAATAATAGAAGTATGAATAGAGGGATGGAGGAATGAATAGGGATAAATATGGATAATTTTTAAAGCAATACAGCTGTATTGTATGATATTGTTATAGCAGAAACATGTCATCATACCTTCGTCAAAACCAATAGAATACATATTTATGCAACACAAAATGAGCTCTGATGTTCTGTAATCTTATCATACTAATGTATGTTCATTGCATTGCCATCAATATATTTTAAAAATTAGTAAAACAAAACAAAAAGAAGAGTTAGACAATTAACTGATGAAAAGGTTTATTTTGGCACCCGATTTTGAAGGTCATGATCCGGCGGACCATTGCATTGAGGCTACTGGTGAGGGTGCCCGATGGCAAGGAAACAAAAGAACAAAACAAGGGGCCAGTGTCCCACAATCCTTTGCAGGGCACAGCTCAGCCATGTGCATGATTCCTAGAGGGCCCACTTCCCAAGGCTTCCACGACCTTCCCGTGGCGCCACCTGGAGGTCACTGCAGTAACACACAGGTCTTTGGGAGACATGCAACATTCAACCTAGAATTTCACCCCTGGGGCAAGTTTGGTGAAAGGGTACTACGAGGGAGCTTATGTATAACGTCTCTTACAACTGCACAAAGTCTAAAATTACCTCGGAATTAAAAATATAAATTGAAAAGCGTAAGTTTCTGTTTCCAGTAAGTTGTTCTCGTTTCTAGAGTGGGACATAATTTTTCATGTTATCTAATTTTGTTTCATTTCAGTCTATACACATTGATGCTACTTTATATACTGAGAGTGATGTCCATGTGAGTATAGTTCTTTTCTTTTTCAAAATTGCTACTTTTCCAATTTTTCTGTCTTGTCTTTTCCTTTTTATCAGTACCGGGGATCGAACTCACAACTGCCTGCTTACAAGGCAGGCGCTTATGCCGCTGAGCTAAATCCCCAGCCCCAACTTTTCCAATTTTCAAAAGCCTAAGAAGCAGGATTCATAATGCATAATGTAACTGATTATATATATATATATATATATATATATATATATATATATATATAACTTTTAAATCTAATTTTTGGTGCATTCTTATATGATCAATGTGTTTTATAAGTGATTGTTAAAGTTGCAGGGCTTGGAGACAAAGAGCTATGTGAGTTCAATTTTTGTAGTGGTGTCAAATCAAAATATGAAGATGCCTTTTCCATCAATGTCAAACAAAATATATTGTTCATTTTCATGATGTCATTAGCTCATGCTGCAATTAGATGCTAGAATTCAGTTAACTGATTGAATTTAAAAGTATCCAGCATATCAGTTGTTTCCAGTGCTGCAGTGTGTCATCATCTCTAATCATATTTTTTACAAATTGCTTAAGGGTGTCCACGTTCCTTTGTTTGCATGGATCTCTGTCAGAAAATATTTCTAAGTGTTCTCTGTGTGAGAACAGAAACATAATGCAAAAAATAATTGAGCAGAATTAAAAAATGATGAACTTGTTTCATTAATACATTGACAGTGCCTGAGGCTTGCAGGATTTTAGTCATGCTGTTAGGCAGTTTCCTCTGGATTATCCCTAAAACCAACTTCACTGCATGGAAAGCACAGTGTACTGCAGAGGTTCAGAACAATCCTCTCTTTGTTATTCCTCAGTTAGACCTTTTCTGAAATAGAAATTGTGCCCCACTAACATTGTACAAGCAGTAGAAATAATCTATAGTCAGAAACTAGGGAAAGCAGACACTCATCTATCATGGATAATCTGCTGCATGTGGAAACTTTCCCCCTCCTCTGGCTTTAACATGCTTTCTGTTTTCCTTTTGTATTTGTTGTTGTTGTTCTAGTCAGAAAGCAATCAGGAATCATTAACACTGAGCACTCTGAACTTGCTTTTGTGCAAAGGAGATGGGCTTTCAACTCCTGGGTTTAGAAAACAATTGGAGAGTGAAACTTAAACAGTGGCTCAACTGTTTCCTGCCTGTGCTAGAAGTCACTAAAGGTTTCTGAACCTTAGGTTTACGGTTGTTAATATGGTGAAAGGATCTGGCTTTGGATCCTGGGCTTTTGCAGTGCAGGGGAGGGAACACCACCAGCACAGGCACATGGAAATGTCTCTTCATCCCCTCGTCTATCCAGTGAGCATTTGTTAGGTGGCCATAGGGTTCCAAGCACTGTGAAGACACCAGGAACCTAAAGTCAAAAACAAGTAAGTCATAGCCAAGTCCCCATTAGAAATTCTCATTCTTTGAACTATGGGTTTTGTTAAATAACTATTGTGGGAAATGTATTTTTGTGATACTTAAAAGATCCTTTTCTGATTTGGCAAGTTTTTCAGTAGACATTGCTCCTGCTTTGATTTTTTTCCATAAAATTCTTGGAATTGCCTTGCCTCTGGAACTTTGGAAATTACAAGAAAAGTCTGACTTGGAACTGCTGCTGTTTAAACTGTTTTAAATCTGATGCTTAAAACTTTTACGAGTTGGCTCTAAGTACTCTTTTGGCAGCCTACAGCCATTGCTACCAACCTTTCTGCAGGGTAACTGTGCCCAGTGAGAAAAGGTAGCCAGCCACGTCCATGTTTTCTTGTGTATGTTCCTCCTTCTCTACAGTAGCACCATCGTTTATGCTTCTCCCCTGGTTTGTTTCATTTTGATTTCAAAGCTAAAATGTAAAAAAAAAAAAAAAAATTAAGCTATTTATTATATAAAGTGTCTATGGGATCTGTGTGTCTATAAAATATTTGGCCCACTTTTTACAAAATCATAGCAGTATGAAAATGAATCATGGAAAAATCAGCTTTTCAAGATAGTTCTTTGTCACTCTTCCTTTTAGCCAAATTGCAAAATAACGGCAATGAAGTGCTTTCTCCTGGAGTTGCGAGTTATTTTACATGAGTCCAGAAATGAAGACATTCATGAAACAATAACCAATCTGATCATCCTGGCGAACAGCAGTTTAAATTCCAATGGGGTGAGTTTTCCAGTCTTCATGCAGAGATGTATTTGATGCTCCTGGCTTGAGTAGGAAAAACCGTTAGTAGACAAGCAGATGCTCCTCAGGGCCACTGAGGAGAGAGAATTCAGTTCCATTCAAGGCTATTGAGTTCCCTCACAATATGTGGTTGTGAAGAATGTCATTTCATTGTGATGACTGAGATGAAGCCCTTAATGTCTTTGCCTTCCTCTTGGACATGATTATTTCCAAGATCGAACAAGACACCACTACATGAAAAGTATGACAGTGCCCAGCACACTGTGTGTGCTTGATAAATGTTGGTGAACCAGACTCCAAGTGCTTCATGGATGTAAAATCTGATTTTGATTCTACAGTTTTGATTTCACATCACTGGCATGCACACAACCCTAAACCTTTCACCTGGATTTATTTGGTAAACAGATAAACACTAGATGGATAGTGCCAGGCAGCACACTGCAGTGCTGGAGCCATAGGGGTGAACCGGACAGACAGGTGCAGTGGCTGGACTTTAATTACATAATCAAGCATTTAACAACAGCAAGAGTGATTCACCTTTATTGAGTTATGGCTGTGCCAAACACCCTTCTTCAGGCTGCTCATTGATAATGCATTTATTCCTCACCATGCATCTGTCAGACCGTTATTCTTCTTGTCTTTTCTTGTTTTAGTTTAGTGGTCCTGATTTCTGTTTGAAGGTTGAAGAATCTGGAGCGCTGAGAGCGTGAAATGCTTGCTCCAGTTCATGCAGTTGGTGAAATGGGAGCCGGGCTTCCACCCAACTAGTGTCCAGAGTCTGCTCTTTTCATCTCCGGAAAAGATAAATGCTGAGAACGGATAGTAATAATAAAGCAAATTAATAGTTGGAGTAGAATTTGAGGCATTCCAGGCAGCCTGCACAGCAGAAAGCTCCAGGAGAGCAGATACACTAACAACTCCTGAGGCGGGCTGCCAGAGTTCTCATTATCCTGCAGTACAGGGAATTACGGCTTTAGGGCAAAACCTTACAGACCAAAGCAAGGCAGATGGAAAGAAAATTTAGAAACAGAGAAGGCATAGTACAATTAACACATTAACCAGTATTTTTTAGCTCTCAGGATGGAATAAAAAAAATACACTGATGACTCATGATATGAGGAGGAGAAAATATAACTCAAGCAAGCAGTAAAGAAAGGGTAACAAGCCAGTTATATTCATATTTAGTCCAGTAGGACCATGGAGGCAGGTAAAAGGGAGAGAGTTCCAGTTTAGAGAAGGTTCGACTTAGTAAGATGCCATGTGACAAAGACATGTGGGTCTGAGCCAGGAGGATGCCAGGTGAGCATGCAGGGACAGACGTGAGAGAAAGTGCAATGACACCAGCTAGTGTGGCTGGTTACCTTGGCTTTTCCCTCAAAATGCCAGGCTCCTTTAGGTCTTTGCTTCATGATGTGCTGGAGTGAGTGGGCAGGACTGCACAGTCACATGGCTCGGTTGTGAAGAATTTTTCCTGACTGTGTCTTGCCCCTCCTCTCTGGCGTAATTATCTCTAAGATGAAACAAAACGATTCTATGTGAACTGTGTGATGGTGCCTGGCACACTGTGTGGGCTTGATATATATTAGTGAATCTGAATTCCAAGTACTTAATGGATGTAAAATCTAATTTTGATTTTTGCTGGCCTAGCTTTTGTGAGTTGAATGATCTCTACAATTTATCTATGCATGATTTTCTGCATTTGAAATATTCTAGTCATCCATGAGATCATGTTTGCATGACTGTGAATTGATTCTCTGGAATCTACCTAAATGGTTAAACCCAACTCATATGGACTGAGTGACTATTACATTCTAAGCCTCATGTTTAATGACAGGGAAACAGAAAAATGTGGCTTTGCCTCCTTAGGAGGGCTCAGAGGCTAACAGTGTGAAAAGGATAAAATTCCATGATAGGAACACAATACATGAGGTGCTATAAGATAGGTCCAAACAAGGAGTTCAAGATCTGGAGAGGAAACATGAAACTCAGCCCTAGGAACTTGGAGTTTCAGGGAAGTTTACTTAAAGGAGATGGCACCTGAATAATCTTAGGTGTGTGTAGCAGCAGCTAAAATAGGAAGAACTTAGCCGCCCGAGAAGCAAAGACAAAAGAACATCCAGTAGCATGAGGTATGCACAGGAAGTAAAGGCAGGGGCTCACCCAATTCCCAGGCCACGGTGTTTGAGGCTGTGATGGATAGTATCTTGATGTTCCTCCAAAGCTGTTGAGGATTGCATCTTGTTGTTCCTCCAAAATTTCCTGTGCTCATAAATGAGGCTTTTTGGAAGTGGTTCGATCCAGTGTGTATGAATATGGATTAAAGGTGTGTGCCATCTGAAACAGTCCGCTAGTTAGATTAGCATCATCCTGGGTGTGAATGAATAGATATACTAAAGAAGGAAACCCTATGCTGGATGTGGGAGGCACCAATGAGTAGGTTTATAATTTGGATAAAATATAAAGAGACAGAACAAAAGGTAGGCTCGCTGATTTCCACCTGCTCTGCTAGGGGACTGCTGAGATGACCCTCTACCATGACACCTAGCCTTAAAGCTGGCAAATATGCACTAAAACCTCCACTGAGTGAAAATAAACCTTTCCTCCTTTAACTTTGAGTTTCAGGTAATTAGTCTCAGCCACAAAAGTAATAGAGTTTTCATGCAATGAATAGATAACTAAAAGCCATGAGAGGTTTCTAAGCAGAAATTCTATGGTCTGATGGACATGATTTATTATTTTTTTCAGTGACCTTGATCCACTGTAGGAAAAATTGATCCACCTTATCAAATCTCTCGATTTTATTTCTCATAGTTTCTCCTAATATGATATTAATTTGCCAAAGTCTTCCTCTCTGACCAGATGGTTCAAATAATATATTCTCAGGAAAGGGGCATATTAGACTTGTCAATGTAAATCTTTTTTTTTTTTAATTTGGCAGAATGTAACAGAATCTGGATGCAAAGAATGTGAAGAACTGGAGGAGAAAAGCATTGCAGAATTTTTGCAGAGTTTTGTACATATTGTACAAATGTTCATCAACACTTCTTGATTGCAATGATCTTCAGTGCTTCTATTATTAATGAACATCTTCCAATTGCTTACAGCCAACCAAACACTGCATACGAAATGTGTTGCCAAAACAAGTGTTTCTAGCGCGAAGTTGATTGGGATACTGAATCAGATGAACTCTTAGAAATGAAGTCAGAACAAATGTGTTTGAGCGACATAGTTACTATGAACTTTTCTGAAACATTTTTTAATTTATTATTAAAATTTTACATATTTGTAATATAATATAAAATGCTGAATAAAATTACATACCTGTTTTATCAATTAAAATTGCTCTGATATTTTACCTCTTACAGGAAAATAGAGGGCATTGTTCAAGGGTTGTCATCAAATTCTGTAGTAAGTGGAACAGCACTGACCGTGGAGTTGGTCAGAGGCTGGACTGGGTCCACTGATGGCCAGACCTCATTTCCGTCTACACTTCCCACACAGAGAGAACTGGCCACCATGAGAAAATAAGGAGCTGTATGTGTGAGCCCAATGCTTTACTCTGTAATTCAGTTATTGAAACATAAAGCACTTGTTAGGAAAGAAATACATTACAGTGTGTGGCGTATAATGTGGATCAGTAAATCCTAAGTGGTGGTGGTAATAAAAAATGCTTTTCTGAAATGTAGAGAGATGTATAAAAAAATGAATAGTTGCAACTGTACTTATATTTATACTTTTCAAAACACAAGTGTTTTATTTTCACAGTCTTATTTGCTTATTCATAGAATTGTTTTGAAAAATATTGATTCATTGTAGTCTGACAGAAAATGTTTATGATTTTTGGATTATAAGTTTTTATAACTGTTTATAACTTTTTTCACTGTGATCCCTAAATTTGCCGGATTTCTAGCTTTTCTGTTGGTGCAAAGAGAAAAAGTTATAATCCAATTTATTTCTTAATTTTCTAATCGATTCCTTAGAGGAAGGTTAGTCCTCTGATTGTTGTGAGGGAAGAAGGAAAAAATAATGCCAGTCATATTAGCGGGACTATTCTGGTATTATAAATACATAGTGAGCTTAGAATTTGGAATTTTCAAATATTCAGAATAGAATCCTCCTGTTACTTAACATCAATAAATTCAGTTGGTCATGACAAATTCCAGAGATGGGTTTGCAACTTCATTTTCAGTGCTGAAGATTACACTTCGTGCCTCAAGTTTCTTCCTTCATTGACCAGTCCAATAGCAGTTGCTTAGAAAATACACCTACTACCCTTATGTTAAAAATATTTGTCATGCACTAAATATATCAGAAAAGTGCAAAATCATACATCAGCCTCAAATAGTAAAAATAAGCCTAGGAAAAATGAGGTTTATAGTCCAAGTTGTTTTGGTGAATTATGTTCTTGCATTTTTTAAAATTTCAGGCCAAGAGAAGATAGATGCAAGAATATTATCTCTCCCTTCTTCTGGCAATAAACCAAAAGGACTAGGAGGCAGGGGACATGGAAGCATAAACAGAAGCAATATGTGATTTGCGAGCCAAGAGAATGTAAAAACCCAACCACAAGTCTAGGTTTATATATCTCATTCTTTTTCTTAGAAGAGTGAATCAATAGAATTATTTCATTTTGCTGCTATTGCTGTGGTGACAAAGAGGGATGATATGTTTTGATGTGTTACTGTTTATGCCATCAAATTCAGTAACTCATAGGGTCGTGAACATGTACAACATGAAAATCAAGTAATGGTACTCTTCTCTCATCTCTTCCCCAGCCAACACAGAAATACTTGAGAATACATTTTTATTTCTTTTGTATTTTAATCTGCCTTAGTGTAAGCTCTCTGCAGACATAGGTGACTCATGAGTAATATACACATCCATGTCACATGTAAGTATTTTTCCCAAAGGCAATGAATGCCATTTCTATAGTTAAAAAAATGTTTCTGAGTGTATCTGATGAAAGAATTGTGTCCCCACCAAAGAACTTGTGCGAAGTAAACTTCAGTTACATTATGAAATCCTCTTGTCATAATTGTATACTCCATCTGATGCAACATCAAAGTGATGAATTGATAAAAATAGTTATTAATAGTCATTCTTTTATCCTATATTTTACTTCTTTAGTGCTGCATTTTGAAATAAATTGTTAGAGGAATAGAAGAGGAAATTGCTACACAAAAGCAGAATTGAAAGTTGTAGCCTATGTTTTCACAAACATTGTTGGCTTTCAGAAAACCTAGCATCATCTTGTAAGTTGTTTTTGTTCATCACTGTTATCACTGTTTTCTTCATTAAGGACTTCATCCCTTTGATCATATTGGAACCTTATTATTAAAAACCTACTGTGTGCAAACAAAATGGTAGGTTCTACAGTTACAGCTGTAACTAGGGGAACCACAGTCTTGATCCTCATGGAGTCTGCACTCCAGCAGTCTCACTGGACTGTTGGCCATTCTGTGAAAGGAGAGAGTTTCTTTGAGAAATGATAACAGTACATATCTACAAAATTTGATGAGGCATTATCTGGGGAATTGCAGAAAGGGTTGATTGGAGAAATAGCCTGCCAAGACTTTGAGTCCAAAAGGATGATGGCATGTTTATAGAGCTTAAGAGGGCAAGCAAGCATCAGACAGATCCACTGATTTTACAGCTCTGTGAAAGATTTGCCACAGCCCTCAAAAGAAACACGATTTTAAAATTCTGACATGCATAAAAAAATACTAGAGGCACTATTTCTACAGTCACGGGAAAAGTTGACATCAAAATCTCCTTAAGCACTAAATGCCAGGTTCATAAAATTATTTTAATGCATCATTTTGCATAAGCTACACCACAGCCGTCATTTGGTGAATTCCTTGCAACAGTTGCAGAAAAATATTGGCAAGCAAGCGCTCAGTCACTGTCAACACAACTGTTTAAAACTCACAGAATTGCAGAAATTGGAGTCAAAGGAATTGTGCAAGTCCTGTGGTGGGCTCTGAGGACAGTGCAAATTGGTCTGTGGTCAAAATCTTGCCACAGGAAAGGCTTCTCATGGGAGGTAAATTTTAAGTCACTTCTTACTTCATCAAGAAGAATGAGGCAGAGAGCGGCAAAAAGAGGATGCTTTGGCTCAATTGTGCTGCATTTAACCAGGACGGGCTACACAGAGGCCTCGGTGATGTGTTTAAGGAGTGGCAGGAAAGATGACACAATGCAGAATAAATGACAGCCGAGAGCCTGCAGGGGAAATGAGAAGACATGTACAATCATGGTTCTCCGTGACAGGCACCATCTTTCTCAAAGGTTTTTAAAGATCACGGTCATCAGCCAACTTCAGTTTCCTGACTTGAAGTAATAAAGTCAGAACCCCTGACGCGTCTGTGAGCTCCTTTGGAAGGGCACATCAGCCCGACGGAAATTATAACATTCCCTTTATACATTTAGGGTTCTTTAAAGTTCACCAAGCACTTTTATCTACATTATTTTATTTTTTAAGGTTTTTTGTCTCCCATGGGCATGGATGAGAAAAGGTGCAGAGCTTTGGAAATGTTTTAGTCATTGTATGTAAAAATAAAAGAAAAAGAACAGTAAAGAAAGAAACCACTTGAAATTTTGCTCAAGTTCGGCTGTGTATTTTTCTATGCCCTATTACCTTTTATATTTCTTTTTAAATAACCACGAGCATAATACTTGGGGTGGAAATTATTTGTCATCTGAGAAATAAAAATAAAGTTTAAGCATATATTTTTATTCCATATTTTGATTATTTTTTTTCTTCATACAATTCTATTCTGGTGTTTTGTTTGCTCTGCCCAGATGGTAAATGCACCATTAAGTTTATCCAGCCTGAATTAATTATCTTTTTATAGTAAAAGAAAGTCCTTTCCTTTTGACAAGTAAGATGTTTGTGCGGTATTTATGAATAAATAAAAGCAGCTGTTGTACACAGTGTTATTAATAGCATTGCTGCAAACATTTCATGTGAAAAGAAATCTACTCTTTTCAATATAACATAGGCTCCTAGAACTCCAGAGTTTATTAAAGAGTGAAAATTACAAACCTGTTACCACATTGCAGCATCTAAAAGAATGTCCTGCTTTCTATGAGGCACTCATTTCAAAACAGCAAGCATAAGCGGCATGCTTTTAGCCGGTTGTTGTCTTTGCTGGCCACTTGGCCCTGACTTTCAGCATTTTGCATGTGAAGAGCGGACCAGAAACGAATCTTTCCCTGGAAAAATAAAATTGACAGGCAGTCACAGACTTGATCTAAATGCCACAATGTTGCCATTCTCTGCTTTTCAATTGGATGGCTTTTTGATAGGTCCTATGGCCATCATGGAAGAGATATTTTTCTGGTAAGAGAGTAGATTTTCAAAGCATAGGAGTCCTTTTGCTTAACAAAGAGGTCTACTCTGAGCTAGGAAAGGTAGGATGAAGGATCATACCTGTTACCATGGTGAGGTCCTAACCCTCTAGGAGGAGGTGTCTCACTGGGCTCAAGACTGCTTGTCTGAAGGCTGTTGGTTTTCCATGAAATGCCTTGTTTCTTAGCAGGTATGACTTGTTCCCAAGGATTTGCTGCATTTTCTTAGTCATCTTTATTTCTGACAACAAACATAAAATGTGCTCTGGGAATAAATACTTGCTAATGTTGGCATCAAGGACCAGTGACAGAAGTCTCAGGGAAAGCTTCAAGAAACCTCACTGTAGAGAGTTTAGAAACATTAAATCTGACCAAGCATCTACCTGCCTGCATGATGACAGGCATGGTAATACTCAGGATTATGGGGTGGATATAAAATATTCTTCCACAGTCTCATATTTGTAGAGACAGGGTTTCTGGAAGATGATTGGGTTGCAGAGTGCTATAATCCTCAGCAGACTAATCTCTTGATGAATTTGTAGTTGAATGTGCATTTAGGAAGTTGGGCCTGGTTGAAGACTGGTGGCCAAGACAATGAACTCTAAGAGTGCAGATGGCCTGATCTCACTGAAACACTGTGCCAAGAGACCTCTCCTCCTTTAAGTTTCAGATTGGGTATTTTGTCCATGCTACCAGAAAGTGACTCATACAATAACTATTTTGCAGCAATTACTGTGTTGTACATTACTGCATACCTGTGGCTATACTCTCCTATTAGACACACACACACACACAACACAAATTTTTTTGGCCTAAATGACAAAATACTATTAAGGTTACTTTTTAAAAATGTAATCTAAATATAATATTCTAATTAGCATATATTTATACACATTCTTTAATAAACTGGCATGCTGCATGGAAATTAATTTGGTGACATTGGTTACATGGTTGACCTTTAACCCTGATGAAAAGTGTTGACAGTTGCTTCTGAAGAGTTCAGATTTGCTCATAGCAGCTCTGGGCATTGTTGACACCATTTTCATTGCTCTGGTCCTGCATGGTCTTGCATAGTAAAATGAACTATAATTATGCACTGATTGTGAAGATGAAAAAATGAATCTCGCCTCAGCTAAGCATGATTTGTGATGTCATAGTTTCCTCCATTCAAATTTCAATGTGAAGAAATTTATTAACTATGATGGTGTCTTTAACTTTTAAATCTGATAATGTAGCACATCATGGTGGGAGCCTGTGGTGGAGCCAAACTACTTACTTCATGGTTAGGAAGCAAAGGAGTTGAAGAAGAAAAAAGTCACAGTCTCATAAGGCCACCAGAGATTTCAGGATCTTGCATAAGGGTTCACCTCTCAAAGATTCCACTCCCTACCAATAATGGCACCCTGAGGCACACATCTTTGCTACATAGACCTTTGGAGAACAATCAGTATCCATACTATATAGCAGGAGTAAAACATCAGACGATTATTAATAAAGTCAACTGTGAAGAAATACATAGAGAACAAATGAAGAGAAATTTATCAGGTCCACATAAATGACTTAAAGTTTTCTGTCAATGTCTAAGCCTGTATCAGTAGCTCAGCTGTTAGAATTAAAGATCTGCTGGTATAACAGACTTCACTTTTGCTTTTGCTATTCTTCATCTTTCCTAACTCCTTAGGCCAATTTTGATTTCTCTATTACCTTGGTCACCCCTCCAAAACTGGCTTGTTTGACATAGGATTCGGGGAGTCTCTCTGCTCAGCAGGTAAATATAAGTGTGTGTATCAGTATACATAATTCTTTT